AGGCGGCGCCCCGGCTCGGAGAGCCTTCCCCCCGGCTGCCCCCGAGTTTCTCGCGCCCCGCGGCAGCCTGCTGGCCGGTCCTCCCTGAACGGCCACGTCCAGGGCGCAGGGTGCTGCTGGGAGTGGACGGGGCAGCTCGGCCCCTGCACGCCCTGGGGCAGCTCCCAAAGGCGTCCCCAGACCCGATTCTGCACCTGGAGATGCGTGTGTGCAAGGGGAAGTGCGCCGTCTGCCCTTGGACGCCGAAGCGAGGAAAGCCATGCAGGTGTGCGAGGGATCAGGCCATCAACATGGGATCTTTTAGGTGAAAAAGTGCTCTGCAAATGGATTCTCTGGAAATCCCTCCGTATGATGCTCTCCGCAGGCTGGGCTAGAGAAAAAAGGTTCTCTTCTCCTCTTGCTAATAAAGTCTGGTTGAAATGACACAGTATAATCTGTGTTTACCTGGGAGTTTACATACGGTTTGTTGTAATTATAGTTTCAATTCCTGCTTTTGCATTTTTTTTTCAAACATCTATTTTTCAATCAGTAAAAGTAAATACTATTTTCAGCCCAATGTAATTCTTCCACTCCCGTGGCCACAAACACAGCGAGGAGAGCGATTCCATTTGTGAGCTGTGCAATTGAGCATAGAGAGGAGCCGGCGACCGGAGGGTGTTAGCAAAGCGCGAGCGGCTTTGGGAAGCTGGGGCTGATCCTCCTCTCCCCACTGCCCCGGTGCAAGTCCCAGGGCCTCCACCCCGCTCGCTGGCACTGCTGCTGCCAACAAATCCAGCTTCAGGCCCAGAACCTGCTTCCTCTCATTCCTGTGTCTTTAAAAACCGAAAGCTGTCTAATCGGAGGCACTAGAGAAGGCATAAGAGCCATTAGGTGCAGCGTCATTTATTCCCGGGCTGGCAAAGCATTGTTCCCTGCTTGGGGACTGAGCTGGTATTAAAAGCATTGTGATCCCCCAGATTTAATTTTTCCCTGCTTTTGCAGATATGATTTATAACAAATAAAGGATCCGGTGTCAGGTGCCTTCCTCACCCAAGAACTGTCACGCACATGCTGATTAAAGCCGTGCAGCCCCAAACGGTTACACCTTGTCCATCCATCAGTCGCTCTGAGGACTAACTTAGACATCCCGGTTGGTTGCCAACCCACGCTTAAATACATGTGTGTTCTGGTGGGATGATTTTTAAGCCAATACTGGTTGCTAAACTGATATACAGATACATATTTATATGTGTAATATAGATGGATACATATATGCATACACACACACACAAATATATATATATATACACACACAAATACATATGGATGGATATTTATTTATTTGTGTCGTGCCCCCAGATCCTTGTAAAAGAATCGGGAGCTCTGTCTCAGGGAAGAATTAGGCATTATTGGGATGCAGAAAAAAATTAATATCTGAACTGTTGCTCTAGAGACGTGCAGAGAAGCAGTCTGATTTGAACCTCCACCACTCTGGATGAACGTTAGCGGGTTAGTCTCCAAATCAAGTATCATGTGGGCTCGGTGCCAAGCCAAGCAGCCTGCTGCCCGCTCTCCTTCCCCTGCGCCCATCGCTCCCCATCCTCCCGGGGGCGAGAGGGTCCCCCCGGCGCCGAGCTCGGCCCCGCTCGCTGCCAGGGCAGTAACGCCAGCGCCGGGGGCTCCTCCGCCGGCTTTCACCCCCGAGAGCCAGGACCCCCAGAGCAGCCTCATCT